TGTGTATGCCTCGTGTATATGCGGCTTACTTACTTCTCGTCCCTTTCTTATCGGCTGACACGACATGGTAAACCACAGATGTGCCGCAAACCTCACGCCTCTTACTCGTAAATCCCTCTCTCTCTCTCTCGCCCTCTGCTGCCCTCTGGCACAAGGGCTGGGCTGGGCGGGACAGGACGGGGCAGGCCACTCCGAGGCCGCCCTCATTCTAGTTTCCTGTGTATACGCCCGCGCCAACTCTCCCGCGCCGCCGCCGCCGCTCTCCCGTGAAGCGCGTTTTGGTGCGAAACGGGAAACCGTAGGGGTGATGGATGGCTGGCTGGCTCGCTGGGCGGGCGTGGGGGTGGTGGAGGTGAGGTGGAGGTGAGGTGGAGGTGAGGTGGGCGGGAATGCACCCCAGCTCCCGGCTCGTCGCCTATTTGTGCTCGTTGATTGCATCAACTCCGAAATACATATATAGCAAGGGGGCCTCGTTGCGGGTGGGGGTATTGGGTGACGATAACGCCGTAACGGTAACGTGATGGCCCTCGCCTTTGTGTCACGGCTCCAGCGTGACAGGAGCGCCGCAACGGAGGGGACATGCCCCGACTGACAAATTGCAAACTGATAATAAGCCGATCTGATAACAAGCGTGCCTGGCCTATAGCCACGGCGCCGTCTCTACTCCCCTTCTGCCGCCCTCTAATTCTCCTCCCTTCCCCGGGGCTCCCCCGAGGGGGTTCCTCTCCCTGTAAAGTTGCTTTTCCTAATTGTTTATACCCCCCCATCTCTATCCGCCGCTCTCTTATCGGATCGCCCCGGTCGGTATCGTTGAATCGTCGTGTCACCTTTATTTACACGCGAGGATGATGGCACTCCACGGTCAATATGACGGCTCGCCCCAGCGCACCCGAACACGGGGAGCAGAAAAGAGCAAAATCACCTGTTCTTTTGTGTTCTGTATGGCTTCTGATTATTGGTCGGACCGATCGTGCGATCGGGTGTCCTTTTTGTTTTGTTTTTTGGTACGAGAAATAATGAATTGCCACGTCAGTGAAGTAGTGGTACCTACACACCCGTGCTTCATATTGGTTTTGGCGGCTATTACGAAGCAAAAAATCGTCCACTTGTGACAGTCTCCCCTTTCGGGCGAGCAGAAACGACGATAACGGCGAGTTTTACCTCTTCCGGTTCGGGTAGATCGAACTTTAGTTGAGAGGGTTACTCTCCCCTTCCCCTTTCCCTGTGCCCGCCCTTCCCTCCTCCGCACTCTCGACAACCTCTCGACGAGAACAACGTGCAGGCCCTCTCCATTTGAAAATCTGTCGAGGGATCCCCCTGGGAGACACTTGGCTCGATAGGGCCGGGCAAGGCGGGGCCAGGCGGGGCGGGGCGCTGGGCGTTGGGGGTCGCGCGAGGCTTTATTCCCCGCTTAGAGTGGAAACGTTATCCGCCGCTTTGAAGTGGCGCCGGTTCGGAGGCACGGCAAGGAGAGGAGGCGAGGAGAGGTGGGGCGGGGCGGGGCGGGCACGTGGAGTGGCTGTGGACCTGGACCGGCAGCGCAGAGATAGCGGGGGCTGACGGGAGGAACGGGGCTGTCGCGGGGCGCGGAGCGCGAGGTGAGGTCGTCGTGACGCGGACACGTTTTGGACACGTCGGTTGGGAGAGGGTCATTACGGGGTGACGAGGAGGATTACATCGCGCGCCCTCTTGCAGCTCGCAGTTGCGATTCTAAAGC